TGAGCGCAGAAGCGGCCCCTCTCCTCATCCCCTCCTTGGTCCACCCCTGAACTCTGCCCTCTAACCCTTCTATCTGTCTTTCTCTTTTTCTCTTGAACCCTCCCCAGAAAGACGACCATGTGGAACAGCGCTTTATTAAAGAGATTGCTTCCATGGGACTGGACCCAGACCAGAGCTACCAGATCACCTGTTACCTCACGTGGAGCCCCTGCCCGGGCTGTGCCTGGAGACTGGTGGACCTCCTTGGGGACTACCCCAACCTGAAGCTACACATCTGCACCTCCCGCCTCTACTTCCACTGGTTGTGGGACTATATTGAGGGGCTGCGGCATCTCTGGATGTCCAATGTCTTGGTCAGCGTCATGACCAGAGATGGTAGGTGCTGTCTGGGGGAGACTGACAGGAATGGATGGGAAGGTCAATGGCCCAGCTGTGGTCCAGGGTCTGGTATACTTGGAAGAGAAGATTCTGGGGAAGAAACAAGGCCCAAGGAGAAGAAGTGGGGAGACCTGACAGTGTCTCTTCTTCCACCTCAGACTTTGCTCGCTGCTGGGAAAACTTCGTGGACCACCAGGGAGAGGCGTTTGAACCCTGGGAGAAGCTGGATTCACATACTAAGTGCACAGCACGAAGGCTTCACCGCATCTTGAAGGAAAATTCCCCCGCTGTAGGTCTCTCCCCCACCTCACGCACACCGGTCAGACTCCCCAGTTTCAGCCCCTCAGCCTCCTCTCCTGCTTTTCTCCAGTGTTCACGTGCACGCTCACATACAGTACACACATGCACCATACACACCACACACATATACACACCCCATAGAGGGCTTAGTGGTAAGGAACTGTTCTGCCAATGCAGAGATGTTGTGGTTGTTGTTATGTGCCATCGAGTCGCTTGCGACTCATAGCGACACTATGTACAAGAGTCCTAAACACTGCTCTATCCTATGCCAACCTTGCCGTCTCAAACACACCCATTCCCCCCACTCCATTCACAGAATCGATCCATCTCATAGAGGGTCTTCCTCTCCTTCGCCTCCCCTCCACTCTCCCAAACATGACGTCCCTCTCCAAGGACCAGTCCCTCCTTGCAACATGCCCAAAGTATGTCACACGAAGCTTCAGAATCCTTGACTCCAAGGAGCATTCTGGCTTCACCCTCTGCAGGACAAACCTGTTTGTTCTCCTAGCAGTCCGTGGTATATTCAACACTCTTCTCCAGCACCACAGCTCAAAGGCGTCAGTTCTCTTTCTGTCATCCCTACTCACACTGTCCAGCTCTCCGATGCATAGCACATAATTGTGAAGTCTATAGCCTGGATCCTGGTCCTCCACAGGGGAAAGGTGGACATTCCCCTCCCATGTGATTTACTGACTGAAAACCCTCTAGAGGCTCAGCTATGGTTCAACAGCACACAACAACTCAAAACATGCACACACATCTCACACGTACCACATACACACACTCCACACATACAAGGACATCACATGCTCACACTCCACACATGTACTTACACACCACGTACATACACACGCACAAGCTCACCACCATACACAACACCTCAAATACATATATACCATATACACGCTGCACACCACATTCACATATACACACAGTGTCTAAACATATACTACATACACATACCACTGATGCCCACCCCACACATAGACACTCCTCATACATGCACACACGCCCTGTGTGCACACACACACCCGTATGCACCCACACACCCTGTGTACACACATATCCCATGTACACACCCCCTGTGTGCTCACACACTCCATGTGTACACACGCACCCTGTGTGCACACCACACACATACCATGTTCACACCCCATGCGCATGCACAAACCCGGTGCACACACATCTTTCACTTTCCTCACTACACTCTTTTGCCCCCTCCTCCAGCAGGGCCTCCCGGCTTCCTCCCTCCCTGCCTGCTCCCAGACTCCATATTCTTCTCATTTGCCTGTGTCTCTCACAAGCTCTTCCGCACCTCCCTGTCTGGCTCTTTTCTCACACCTGAGTTTTCATTTTCACCTCTCCACTCCTTCTTCCTGGCCCAATATCCCACCAACCTTTGCTTCCTAATTTCTCCTCTTCTCTCCCAACAGTTCTCGAACTCAGCTGATTTAAGTGAAGCCCTGCAGAATTTGTTCTTTTGACAGCCCACCTTCCGAAGCCCAAAGAGCTGTCTTTCCACTTTCATTCATTCCTGTTCACTTTTCTAAAAAAATAAAAGGTTGCATCATTTTATAAGTGGTAAAAAATATATATAAACATAAACTATAAAACCTGGCTACCAGCTAACCAGGTGTCTTAGGGTGGTGTGGATCGTGGGTTTATTGTTCAGAATGGCTTCCCCGCTCATTGGCTCCGACTTTCACTACATGAATGGATGGGAACTTGAAAGAAGGTGTGTGTAATTTAATCGTTATGAGATTGGCCAGTTTTCCCCATCACATCAAGCTTAGCAGCAAAGGTGAGTGTCTCACTATCAGAAAGAAAGTAGCAGGAGAGATCAGTGAGCTTCCTTTGGGGTCAGAGATTCCTTCTCCAGTCAGACCAGGACTTATACAAGAGAACAGCAGCCTCAGCAGAGAACCAGAGCTGTTACAGTTATCTTTTATGGTTGGTTATTCTTCTAGTTTGTTTACAAAATTTGAATATATTATTTTCAGAACAAATTCTTCTAATTTCCCTCCACACCCCCATCAAACTGTACATCTTTTAAATAAATGCACCTATTTAACTGGACCAATAAGGTGCATCATGATAGATGGAGAAAAGATTCAAGTTGTCAACAATTTCATCTTCCTTGGATCCATAATTAACACCCTTGGTACTAGCAGTCAGGAGATCAGGAGATCTATTGCCCTCGGCACATCTGCAGTCAGAAATCTCTCTAAATTATGGGAGAACAATGATGTCAGTTAGAAGACTAAGATGTGCCTGATTAAGGCCACTGTCTTTCCAATCACTTGTTATGCATCTGAAAGCTGAACAATGAATAAGTATGACAGAAGAATTGAAGCCTTTGAGTTGTGGGGTTGGAGAAGAAATATCCCATGGACTGCCAAAAGAACAAACAGATATCTTTCGGAGAAGGTATAGCCAGAATTGGATCACTATGACTCACAAGCAACTTGACAGCACCTAACAACAACAACATAGCCAGAATGCTCCTTGGAGGCAAAGATGGAAAGGTTTTGCTTTATATACTTTGGGCATGTTGCTAGGAAAGGCTATTGTTTGGAAAGAGAAAGTGATGGCAAAAGAGAGGAAGATTCAACCAAATAGACTGACACAGTGACTGTCACAATAGGCTTAAGTGTGTTAGAGATGGTGAGGTTGGCACCGGATAGGGCAGAGTTCAGATCGGTTGTTCATAGAGTCACTATGAATTATACTCAACTGTATGATATCTAACAACAACAACAGCCACTCCATAGGGAAAAGATGACCAGTCTCCTCCTATGAGGAATTTGCCTTAGAAACCTGTCTCCCTGGTAGTGGGTGGTTAGAGTAAAAGTCTACTATACTAATTTTCATAAGGGAAATCATATTTCCCTCTGTGATGGTTAATATTCTGTGTCACCACAGCCATGATCCTTAGTATAAAGTAACCGTTCTGGGCATGAAAAGTCTCACCTCTGCGACATTAAAGAGACAGGATTAAAAGCATTTATGTAAAGACCTGGTCAGTCTTCGCTGAGGAAGGAGATGCAGCAGGTGTGGCCTGCTTTTGAATGCATATTTGAACTCTGGCACAGCTTTTGTTCAATCAACACTTGGCTATCTGACTCGTAACCTGCTGACCTAAACCAGTGACTTGCTGGACTTGACAGTTTTGGACTTGAAAAAATCTCCAAAGCCATCAGTCTGCTTCCCTGTTCCCCAGAGATGACCTTTGGATTCACCTGCCTTTAAAGCCAGTAGTCACTGAAGCCAGCAGCCGGAGACCCTGATTTGGTCTCCTTATCTCCCCAGATGCCTCTCTCTTGAGTCTGACCTACAGAGCTAAGACATACCACCCACTACACATAGAAACCATTTTCTTTAAATCGTTACCTAAGCTTTATTGATTACAGAACCAGCTGTAAAGAGTGGGGAGCCTGACCTCTAATAACTTCACCAAGGTGAACAGTCCCCATCAGTAACACCCTAAACCAATTTCCATAAGGTCAGATACAGCCTCCACTCTCTCCTACTAATTCCAAAATCAACTGTACTGTTTTACCGTAGGTAGCTCTGGTAGCCTAGTGGTAAGAAGCTAGCAACAGCTCCTCAGGAGAAGGGGTAATCTTTCATGCAATTTATTGTCTCTGGAAACCCACTGAAGGGTCACCTATGAGTTGATTCTCACTCAAGGACAAACAACACCACCACCAAGTGTAAGGCTTGAAATCTGTTGTAGCCACACAGATCCCACAGAATGATACCCACTGTTCGGGGTTTTTGTTAGGGAGGTTAACAGGTTACAGTTCAGGTTGGCAGCATGATACAATTCCTCAGTCAGGGCAGCTTTGCAAGGGGTTCACAGAGCCTTCAGCTTTGTGACTTAGGTCAGTCTTACAAAGCTCTGTTAAACTTGTCAATTATGTATCTGACTCAGTCTTTCAACAAGTTTAGGCGAAGGCCCCTGGCTCTGGCTTCCAGGGGCAACAGTCACAGGTCAGCTCTGATCTGCCCAGGGATGAAGTGCAGAAGACAGAAAGGAATTGGGAAGGATGAATGGTAACGAGAATTACAAGGAGGATGTGGAAAGACGGGTATTAGAATATGGAGATTGTGGTGAATGTCATGAAACCAAATGTGTACAAACTGTTACATATTCTCTGTAATCTCTCATTTCAATTATAATAAATTATCTAACATTGATTTTGCAAAGGCATTTGACTGTGTGGATCAAGACAAACTGTGGCTGACTCTGAGAAGAATGGGAATCCCAGAGCATTTGATCGTGCTAATGTGAAACCTATACTTGGACCAAGAGGCAGTCGTTAGAACAGAGCAAGGCAATAGTGCATGGTTCAAAATTGGGAAGGATGTCCACCAAGGATGTGTCCTATCTCCATACCTTTTCAACCTATATGCAGAACAGATTATCCTGGGCTGTATGAGGAGAAGTGTGGCTTCAGGATTGGTGGAAGATTCATCAACAATCTGCATTATGAAGATGGCACAACCTTGCTTGCTGAAACTGAGGAGGACCTGAAGGGCTTGCTGCAGAAGGTCAAGGACTGCAGCCTTCAATATGGATTGAGGCTTAATGTCAAGAGAAAAAAAATCACCACTGGGACAATTAGCAGCATCAGGAAGGATGGTGAAGAGACTGAGATTGTTAACAGCTTTAGTTTGCTTGGCTTCACAGTCAACACTCTTGGCACCAGCAGCCAGGAAATGAAAATATGCATGGATATGGGAAAGTCTACTGTCAGAGACCTCTCCAAAGTACTGAAGAGCAATGGTGTCACTCTGGAGACTAAGGTGCACCTGAAACAGACATGGTCTTTGCAATCACTTGCTGTTCATCAAAGAGCTGGACAATGACCAAGGAGGATAGAAGGAGAAGTGATGGCTTGGAGCTGTGGTGCTGGAGAAGAGTATTGAAAATACCATGGACTGCTAAGAAAACAAATAGGTTCGTCCTAGAGAGGGTTAAACAAGGCTACTTCTTGGAGGCAAGGATTCTGAAGCTCCGTCTGACATACTTTGGACATGTTGCAAGGAGGGACTAATCCTTGGAGAAGGACATCATGCTTGGGAGGGTGGAGGGACAGCACAGGAGAGGAAGACCATCTATGAGGTGGATTGATTCAGTGACTGGGGTAATCAGGGTGGGTGTGTCAGAGACACTGAGGCTGGCACAGGATAGAGCAGGGTTTAGGGCTGTTATACATAGGGTCACTCTGAGTCACAGGCAACTCAACAGCACATAACAACAACAACAACAACAAGAAAAATGAATAGATTAAAATATTAAAATTGTAATAATGTGTTCAATTTTTTAAAAAATCAATGTATGAAATACAAGTTGTCTAATGACTGCTTTCAATGAAATAAATTCTCTTTCTAATAGATAAAAAGAGGGGGGGACGATGTTGCAGGCTCACTGAATCTCTAAGAAAGATCACTGGACTGGAAGGCTTCAAAGCCAGGAAGGATTCATAAGCAACATTGCAAAGCTGATTTATTGGAGAGGTGAAAGTTGAATGATGAACAAGGAAGATCAAAGGATAGATAACTCTGAACTGTGGTGTTGACAAAGTGTGTGATAAATCATATAAACTCCCCAATATAGTCACATTCAAGCTAGCTAGCTGAGTTAATAGACTTGTCTTTCTAGTTTCTTCCCAGAATGAAGGCAAACTGACTGCCATTCCTATTGTTTTTAGCCATGCTTGCAGAACCAGAAGCTCATCAAGAAGGTGAAGAATTTTCCCTTAAACTAACCTTGTGCACTAACATTTTCTCAGCTGTCTATGTTCTTCTCAACTTTGTTATGTACCAGAGTTGTTGTGTGTTGTTAAGTGCTGTCAAGTCATAGGCGACTCATAGTGACCCTATGAACCAAAGTCCTCGGCCCTTGTGTGATTTTCAACTTTTCTACAGGTTCATAAGGTTTCCAGAGGCAAGCTATTACGGAAGTGGAGGCCACTCCTGCTTCCAAGTTTGTTTTAACCAGGGAGCCCCACCAAACACTGTCCGCCATTGGTAACCATTATCACATTTGACCCATCAGTGTACCGCAAGTTACCTCTGTATGGCAAGTGGACACACCAGGGCTATACACCCTACAAGAATGTTTGACCAAAAATAATTAAGAACTGGCCCGAAGGCCGCAGGCCCAAGGGCCCTACAGTATTTTCCCATTTTGGCATGCCCAAACACTGGCAAACTCTGGGCCAGAAAACCTTAACTCATCTAGCAAGCCTACTCTGCTGCTACCCACTTGGGGAAAACAGAAAGCCAACAAACGCCCCAGCGTTCTCGATGACTTGCCCCTCTCTCTTCCAGACTCCAGAGTTGTTGTGTAGGGGTGTAAAATAGCTAGCTGCTTCCACTTATGTTCAGGGTTGTCAAAGGGGAGAGGAATATGGGAAGGGTCCCCAGGGGGCTGTGTCCTGGGGTTTGATAAGCTTGTTCCATGGTGGATCTCTTCCCCTGATGGCTGTCACAAGTCCTGTGTTTGATGTCTGAGGTAGGATGTCACCAGGCTGATGTGCATTCTTCAAAGAATGTATCCGGGTTTTTTTTTATGTCAAGGAGACCTGGCTGACCACATATCTGGACTAATAATCTCACAACTAGTTCATCAGTCAGGTGACTGGACTTTACATCGGATGATGAGGATGGCAGCATTCAAATCCGATATTCATAGGGTGACTGTGAGTCATAGTTGACTCCATAGCACCTAGCAACAATAACAATGAGCTGAGGTAACCATCCAAATCTAGGGGCTCTGGTGGCCTAGGCATAAGATGCTGTAAGTCAATCCCAGAGGCACATGGTTCAAATCTACCAGATGCTCTGTGGGAGAAGGGAAAGCTCCCGTGTGATTTACTGTCTCTGAAAACCTGCTGAAGAGTCAATTATGGATCATTTCCGACTCGACAGCACACAACAACAACTGGCAATATTTACCTGCATCCAAAACTTAGATCTTTAGGGGGAGCTCTGGTGGCCTAGTGGTAAGAAGCTGCAACTACAATCTCAGAGGTGCACGGTTCGAATCCACCAGATGCTCTGCCGGGGAAGGAGGGACAATCTCCTCCTGTGCCAGTCAGATCTGATTTGACGGTACACTCACACAAAAATAATAAAATTAAAAAAAAAACAACAACAAACAAAACTTAGATCTTTATTTTCTCTCATTAAATATTTAGGTCATTATGTCTGAACTCTTCCTGTCATCATAAAGTCATCTCGTATACTTTGGGCATGTTGTCAGGAGGAACCAGCCTTTGGAAAAAGACATTACACTGAGAAAGACAGAGAGTCGATGAAAGAGGAAGCCCCTCAAAGAGATGGATGGACACAGTGACCACAACAATGGGCTTGAACTTGGCAGAGACTACTTGGCACAGGTTAGGGCAAGGCTTCAATCAGTAGTTTGAAAAGTCTAGAACAATAGAACCCTTAACACCAGAACCATTTGTTTTAACATAATAACACCTCAGCCTGGCCAAGTGCCTCACATTGTTGTTGTTGTTGTTTTTAAGTGTCGTTAAGTCGTAGATGACTCATAGCGACCCTATGAACGAAAGACCTGAACACTTGTATAACTTTCATAGTTTCTCCAGGTTCATAGGGTTCCTGGAGGCAAGCTATTTCAGAAGTGGATGCCACTCCTACTTCCAAGCTTGTTTTAATCAGGGAACTCCACCAAACACTGTCTACCATAGGTAACCATTATCACATCTGACACATCAGTGTCACAGTGTTCAGCATCACAGCAACCATGAGTTACTTCTGTACAGCAAATGGACAGCCCAATGAAGTGCCCCACTGGTGGGGGTGGGAGGAACTTTTCCTGACTCATAGATGACCTTGACTTGGGCAGGGAGGGGAGTGAAAAGGGGGTCAGGAACAACAACAAAAACAAAGCAACAAACATCTCTGAACTTTGAACCATTTGTTTTACCTATCTTATATTTTTATTTTTTTCATTTTCTACTAGTTTCTTTACAAAATTCAAATTGTTTTCAAGAAAATTTTTTTTTCAAATTCCCTCAACCCCCATTCATCAAATTATACAACCTCATGACTAATCCCCCCTTCCCCCTGCACATCCTCATCCCTCTGCTTCCAGCCTCTCTCACCACCTTGGATTCTTATACTCATTCTACAATAATGGTCTTATACAATATTTATATTTGTGGGGCTGAGTTAGTTCACTCAGCATAATGCTCTCCCAGAACTTCCCAAATTAGGAAATAATTTACAAAATCATTGCTCTTGAGTGCTGCATAGTATTCCTTTATGTGAATATACCATAATTTCTCCATCCATTCCATTGTGGTTGGGCATCTGGGCTGTTTCCATGTTCTTACAATTATGAATAAATCTGCTATGAACATTGGTGTACAAATCTCTGTTTGTGCCTCAGTTCTCATTTTCTCAAGGTACATTCCAAGTAGTGGAATAGGTGGGTCATATGGAATTCCTATATTCAGCTTTTTTGAGGAAATGCCAAACTGCCTTCCAGAATGGTTGTGCCATTTTATAATCCCACCAACAATGTATAAGAATTCCTTTCTCACCAAATCCTCTTGAACATTTATTACTTGCTGCCCTGATAACTTTGCCACTCTTATTGGAGTGAGATGGTGCCTCATCGTGGTTTTGATTTGCATCTCTCTTACTGCCAATGATTTGGAGGATTTCTGCACGACACAATAAAAGACCTAAAGTAATGGGAAAATGTGCCCTGTTCATGGATAGGAAAACTCAATATTGTGAAAATAACAATCCTACCAAAAGCAATCTACATGTTTGGTGCAATCCCAATCCAGATACCAAATTCATTTTTCAAGGAGATTAAAAGGGAAATGGTCGAATTTATTTGGAGAAGCAAGAGACCCCAAATAAGCAAAACACTCTGAGAAACAAAAATGAGGGAGGAGGCATAACACTCTCTGACCTCAAAACCTACTACACAGCAGTAGTAACCAAAACAGCAGTGTAACCAAAACAGCATGGTACTGGTACAATGACAGGTCCATAGACCAATGGAACAGAATTGAGAACCCATAAATAGACCCAACTATCTATGGTCAACTGACATTTGACAAGGATATCAAAGCTATCAAATGAGGAAATTATAACCTCTTCAACAAATGGTGCAGGCAAAACTAGACTTCCACCTGCAGAAAACTGAAACAGGATCCACGTCTCACACCATACACAAAAATCAGCTCAAGGTGGATCAGAGACCTGGGAGTAAAGCCCAAAACCATAATGTTCATAAGAGACAAACTGGGATCAAGCTTAGAAGCACTAGTCCAAGATATAAAGAGACTGCCAAATACAACCAGAAATATAGGAGAGTAAGTATAAGATAAATTCAGTTCTTAATCTATATGTAGAATTGGATTACAATGTCTAGAGAGGTAGTGAGGGACCATTTTTTTCTTAAAAAACTAAAATTGAAGGGACTGGAGAGTATTATAATGAGTAAACTAGCTCAGTCTCATTAGGACAAATACTGTAGAAGACTTTTATTGTAGAAATAAATAGTTTGAGCATCTAAGAGGTGAGGGTGGGCAAGGGGCAGGTAATCATGGGATCACACGGTTTCATGGGTGAAGACCAGGTGGGTTGAAGAGGTGGGGGATTTTACGTGAGGGGCAATGTACATAAACTTTGTAGGTAAACCAGTGCAATTTTTGAAAAATAATAACAATAATAATAAAATTTCCAAAATAAAATCTATATGTTTAAAATAAAACCTAGCATATTCTCTACTAAAAAATACCAGAAATGCACAATCTGAAAAGCATAAAGTTGATGCATGAGACCTTCTAAAGATTAAATCTCTATGTGCAACAAGCACTTTTTCCAACAGGGTGAAAAGAATACCTACAGAATGGGAACAAACATTTGGTAATACCATCTCAGACAAGTGTCTTATAACAAAAGTTTACAGAATACTCATGGGCCTCCACAAGAAAAAGACTGTTAAACCAATTACAAAATTGGCAAAAGACATGGAAAGAATTTTCACAGAGGAAGATATTAAAATGTAAAATAGACACATGAAGAAATGTTTTATCTATCTTTAAAAAAAATCCGCTTTATAACTTTGGCCTCTGATCCACCTTGAGTTGATTTTTGTGTATGGTGTGAGATGTGGATCCTGTCTGAGCTTTTTGCAGGTAGCAGTCCAGTTCTGCATGTACCATTTGTTGAAGGGGTTGTCATATTTCCATTTGATAGGTTTTATTTCCTTTTTGAATATCAGTTGACCATAAATAGATGGGTCCATTTTGGGGTTCAAGCTTACGGTACTGCCAAAAAATGGGCAGAAATGCACAATCTGAAATTGATGAATGGGTCTTCCTAAAAATTAAATCTCTGTGCTCATCAAAAACTTATTCCAACCGGATTCTCAAAGAAAAAGGAAAACAACCAAACAAACCTGCTGATTGGGAAAAATAATTGGCAATACCATCTCAGACAAGGGTCCCTTCATGGAAGGTTACAGAATCCTATGGGGCCTATAGAAGAAAAAGACTGATAATCCAATTACAACATGGGCAAACGATATGGAAAGATTTTTCACAGAGGAGGACATTCAGGTAGCAAACAGACACATGAAGAAATGCTCCAAATCACTGGCAATAAGAGAGATGCAAATCAAAACCACAATAAGATACCATCTTACTCAAGTAGCAGTGGCAAAGTTTAGTAGGGCAACAAGTAATAAAATTTGGAGAGGATGTGGCAAGAA